ATCTCCTGAGATGCATGCAAGATAAAACATTTGAGCATTCATAGAATTGGATTCTTAGTTTCTGTGAGCACAGGCTACAGCAGTGTCATAAAGGAAAACATTGAGTTTGGATAGTTTTAGGTAGATGCACAAATGATCTTTTGTGTCTCTAGTACCAGTTCAGTTCACAGATAAATATAAGCAAGTTAGAATCAAGTTTAGCAACAATTTCTGCTATAGCATTTAATTTTCTTTACAATATATCAGCCTACTTTTCTAATGAGATAGAGAGTCCAAATCCAAATCATTCTTTTTGGGACACTGATACATACTTCAACTTTTGTTCAGTGTGCAACGAACATCCCAGAGAAAAACATTTAGTTATAAATTCATGACTACCTAATGATTTACTTTTCAGTCTTAAAAAAAAAAAAAAAAAAAGCCACAACTGTGAATGCTGTCAGCAATATTTCTTTTGAAAGTGATCTTTAGACCCAAATTGTGATACTTATCAGAAATTAAGGAACAGAATTATGCATACACATATACATCCTCTTGGATTGTTTAGGAAGTATTTCCACCCCTTTCCTTTGCCACTCCCTGTTTCCTTGAATCTGCAGGCAACAAAGTTTGAAAATAAACTACTAGCCCCATAGCCTTCTTCAAACTGTCTTGTTCTCTGCAGTCAGCTTATAAACAATTTGTAGTGCATGTAACAATTAGTCCTAGTCCAAACAGCTGATGAAGTGTATAGCACATTTGTTTAACACACTGATGCAGTAGAAAACTGTCAGCTTTCTCCAAGGAATTTTCTGCTAGATCGTTGGATTTAAGCATCTCCTGAAAAAGTTCAGCCTACACCAGTAGCAGCGCCAGAGCGATAGTGAGATGCATACTGACAATACAACGAAGGAAAGGAGATGCGAGGTCTCCTTTTCGCAGTAGCAAAATCAAGTTATTTTGTCTGTTTGAGGACCCATATCCTAATTAAATCTGGTAAAGGAGCTAGTCTGAAATTGAGGTTATATATTCTATTTATATTTTCTGTTATGAAAGCTATTGGATATTATACAATTTTGTGGAACATTCTGAAAAAAGGTGAAGTAAATTAAAAAGGACTGCTTGCTCCAATAAAATACAAATTTAAATCAGATTTTTGACTGCTGCAGTTATATTTTTATGATGCAATTTATCTATACTACATTAGGTGAATGTTTTGAATTCAGCAGTAAATTGTAGTACCAGTAACCCTAGAAGAATACGCAAGTGATTCTGTGAGCAAAACGGGGTGTTACCCTATTCTCTACTTGGCCTCTGTATGCATGTTTGTCTTTGTTGTAACCTCACTCCCATTACACTTTATGTAAATTTGAAGCCTTTTTAACAGCACATACAGAATCCAAATCTTGACTACTAAAAATAACCATCTCTAGGATGATTTATTTCTTTTAAAACCAGGATTTTAATTCAGAAGTGAATCATGTTGGTTCATTTCTTTGTGCCACGTGCTATGCTAATTGTACTTGGTTGTGTACACAAAGTAAGCAAAGTTGCATATCTGTGAGACAGCCCAAGAGGACAGCCTTTGGGTGGGGACCTTGCTGTTACAGCCCAGTATCACAGGGAACTGCCATTTCAGATTTTCTTATATGGACAGAACACTTAAAGAGCTACAGAAGCCATTTGAGGTCCCATGAAAAACAGAACTTTCTGCTTATACAGTAAGTACAAACGCATTATACCTTTTGAAATGGGCCTCTACAGAAAGTTGCCTTTCTATTACTAAAAGCTGAAGTATAGGCAATTATTTCTGGTAAAGTTGATAATTTATTTTATTTGATCATTTAATGGGAAAAAGTCTTTCTTCCAATGTAGGACAGTTTGCTTAAATATTTACTCTATGTACACTTTAAAGTATAATTAAGAAAAAAAGAGCAAACAGTAAAAAATGAGATCTATCATGTTGGGCTTGTTCAGTAACCTATTTAGTAAGGTAAACCTTGACTGTACCTTACAAGAGAAAAACAGTATAGCAACGTTAGATGGTTATAGACTTGGCATGTCTACAGAATAAGTTTCCTTTCAGCAATGTCAAGTGAAGATTGGTTTCTGTCCAGACAGAGAGTTTCTATTCCTATTTTTAAAATAACTGTATAAGTCTTGACCTTACTGAGTTCTGCTAAATTCACTGCTTATATTACTAATTTCACCCAACTTCCAAACATGAGAAACACTCAAGTGAAACACACACATTCTCTCTGAGAAATTACAAATTGGAAGTTCTTGTTTGCGAAATGCAAGAATTCTACCACCAAAATCTTAACCTGGCCTGAGGACTGGTTCAGTTGTATGCACTGTCTTTCAAGGTACAAATGTCAATTTAATTAGCTAGCCAGAAAAAATAATTTAGATTGCCTCAAAGCATCCAGGTATTACTATTCTGAATAAGCATGGCAGTTTGCAAGAAGTATTTATTGTTTAAAGGTGCTTTAGTGTGAATTTGGTTTTACTCTGTAGGCTGCCCTTAGGAGTACACTGAACTTGACAGTAGACTAGAATGTTTGCCATTAATTGTGAATTAATGGAACTCACATTCAGTATAACAGTATATAACTGTGCAAGTGCAACAAATGTCTTAGCAGCAACACTGAAAGATGCATTCCAATAGCTATTTCTTCATGGAATAAAAATTGCTAGGATTAAAAATGCCATGTTAAATTTACATGTTTGTCTTTAGGTGCTGTTTTAGAAGAATAGCCTCTGACCAAGAATTAAAATTGTTGTCGGAATAATATGCGAACAGGTAATTTCCTCCAAGTCTTTACTTGGATGTGTATTCGTATATAATTAGAATTCATTAAATTTGCATTGATTTCAACAAGCTGCCATTGGGATTGTCACAACTGCTCTGTATGGCTGTCATCGCTTCCTAGTCATCTAAACTAGAGATCACCAGTCAGTGGTACAAATTCCCTAAGGAGATGTTTGCTTTGACCAATCCTAATATTTCACAGTTCATGATTGATTAGCATACAGTCCAAAGTTGCTTATAAGTGAGGAAGCATGCATCAGCCCCTTTATCTTCTGTCAACATTTCCCACTCCTCCCCCTTTTTTTTGTTTTAGCAGACGTCAGGATTAGACGGTCTGTAGTATTTTATCCTCTGGATTAGGCAAGACAGCCGAGTCAACATGTGGATTATCAAGGCTGGCTCGGTTCTTTGGGGGTTAAGGTGATGTTGAGCCTTTATTTGTTTTTCTTTTCAATAGATAGGACAGGGCTACAAAAGTTTAAATGCAAACAGACAAGATAGTTTAGGGACAGGTTTTCATGCATATCCTTAAACAGAATAATTGAGAATCGGTGCATTTAGAGGCTGCTATTACCCCTGCCAGCTTTGAAAATTCAGCGTCTAGCATTACAAAGAACAATCTTGTTTCATTCCTCTTCACTTCTGCTCCCACCAGAACCTGACTTTCTTTTAGAAGTGACTTTTGTGTGCTATGTTCTCAAAATACGTATATATATATAATGTAGAACATATGTTGATAGTTTCTACAGTTGTATTAATTGAAAAGATAATATTTTTTTTTAATTGCCCATCATCGCATCACTTGTTAAACTTTTCTATCTTGATTATGGTAGTCTGAATGTAGTACACATTTGACTTTCAAAGCATACAGTTTGCATTTTTTAGATTAATATAATGTATTGATTTCCCTCATGAAAAATCATAACACATTCACCAATGCTAATGTAATCGGGTATTGGCTTGTATTGAACCCCTTCTGATATGCTCTTTCCCATCACTCACTATAAATATAAAGGGATAAACTGTTGCTTTCATACTACTCTGTCTATACAGAGGTGTAGCTTTCAAATTTGATCCAAACTACTGCATTTCGTAACAAGTGGTATATGGGTATCAGGTACAATAATATATATTTCTGTATTGTAGCAAACCCTAGTACTACTAGTAATTACCAACATGTTTTTAGTGTTAGAGCATCCTGAATTGTCTTTTATTCTCCTTCCTAATTCTGTCATCTCCTTGATACTGTATTGCTCTGGTACTTCCAATGAGTAGTAGCAAAGTATTAATACATAAAATAGAACAAATAAAAAGCACAATTGGATGGAAAATGGGGCACCTGATCTACATGGACAGAGAAGTTTCTTCAAATATCTCATTACTGGTAAAATTAAGGTTACCATTTTTCCCTTAGCACTGAAAAGAAGTCTAGCACTAGAAGGAAATAGCCTATAGAGAAATTGTCTGTAATTACAATCAAAAAGGCTTCGAAGGCTTCCTAGGTACTTTTTGTTCTCTCTCTCCACCTCTCTCACTTTTCTCTAATAGGTCTAAGACAGAGTGCCTGAGGTATTTTGCCAGAACAAAAATGTCTAGTTGGGCTGCAGAGCTGGTCCTTAATACACAGATCACACCATAACAGTGAGAGAATCATTCTCCCAAATGTTCTGAGACCTGAATGACTTCAGGCATTTAGTTTTCCTCTTCTTCTACTACTATGCCAATGTGAGACAGGCCTATTTCTGCATAAAGATGAAGAACGAGAACCATAAGGCATGATTTTAAGGAGGTTAACAAGTTCTCATTAATTCTCATGAGAATTTCTTTGAAGGCTTTCCACAAGCTGTCTGAAGGGATTTTTCTGTGGGGCCTACCTTCTATCATCTCCTTTTCCAACAACATTTAAGTCCCTAAGATGCTTAATTTGACAGCAGGTCAGAGTTGAGTTTTGCTTTTTTTCTCTTGATCCTTACAATTGTATAGATATCTTGATCCATTGTTCATGTATTCAATGCCCTCTCTTCATTTAAAGAAGGTTGTAGCCTTCAATTTAATTACACTGTCACAGAAGTTCCAGTGTTGTGTTTGAACAGACAAAAATAATAATTTATAGTTCTTATTTAAAAACCAGCTTGGTTTTTTTTTTCTGTTACCATTTCATTCCTATTGCAATTATACTGTTACCTATGCAAAATAATTTTAAGTCTTTTAATAGTGAGCTTGCAGTAAATTAATTGTCAAGCACAGAACACTTCTGAGTTAAAAGAAATGTCCATTTAACTTATAACAAGGTAGGGCAGAACACACATTTCTGTTATGCCACATCCTGAGCCAATGCAGCAAGGTCAAACATGAACAATCTTTCCATACTTACCTCCCTCCTCCTCCAGCTCCCTAATTTATCTGCACACGTGCATAAAGGTCCAGTTACCATTTGGATGCTACTACTCTGATAACATGAACATGACACTGAATTCCTGTTGAGCTCTGCGGTATAACTGACTTTGTCTTAAAATAATATAAGGCCTTTACTCACACTTCTACATCAATATATTGTCATAGAAATGGAAGAATGTATGAAAAGGCAGGAGAGTGGAATTACTAGTGATGGTCTAGTATCACAGGATGCACATTTTTTTTTGTTGCACAGAGTTAGAAGTAGCTAAGCTTTTCTGCATCTCTTAGAAAAGACAGGTTTATTTTATATACAAAGCTGTAGAAGCTTCCTCTAGGGTAGAATGTCTTATGGCCACACTGCTCACTTTTTTCTGCAGGAATAAAGGAGACCCCTAGCTCTTTTTCCCGAAGGACAAACAAGAAAATTAAAATCTTGATTCCTCTTAAATAACACTATATTTTGTATAGAACATGTCTTCTATACATAAATAGTGAGACAGCAGAATTCTTATTTTCAGAACTTCTGGGAGAAGTAACAACAAAAACAACACCTAAAGTGTGAGGTAACACATGATTCTCACGCTTGTGATATCAGAAGACTGCTCTATTTTTCTTTTGATTGAAATAGTGTGGTTTCGTAAGATTAAAGAAATTATAAAAATATATATGCATACATATAAAAATATAAAAATGAGTTACCAATGCATTAAATGTATCATAAATATATGCAGTCCAATTTCCAAATTTAAACTGCTTTCAAAAAGAGTGAAAGGGTACAGTTAGGTATTCTTTTTAATCATAAAATGGACAACTGCTGCCATGAGTGCCAACATTAGTATACTATATTTGGGGTTTTGTTGGAATGTCTACTTGTGTTTAACACACTAACAATTCATGTAAGAAGCCTACTGAGTTACCCTTTTTGAGATCTGTGGAAATGACATTATAACAGGCAGTCTTCTACGTAAGTGACACTTCATAGGCTAGCTCCTCTATTGGTTGTTAAGAATTGGGGTGGGAAAACCTGGTGGTGTCCAACTGCACTATGATTCAGCTCTTAATAGAGCCTGGAGCAGTCTTAGAATGTCCTGCTCCAGACTTGACACTGTTCTGGGTTTACCTGTACTGACTCCGATTCTCTCACAGAAGCCAGTTAAGCCACTGGAACAGGACAAACCAGACTTCATATAGGTCACCACGTGAATCACTGTACTCAGTACAGTTTGTGGTCACGAAAGGCAAATGAAGTAAGTTCCTCTCACTGCAAGAGAAATTTTGCATTTATTCATATAATTTAGGTGCTTCATGTCCAATATGGTGATAAATTTGTGATCTTTTTGCATATTGCTACATGAAACAATTCTGCAAGATAGATAGTGCTGTACATTGCTGGCCTGGAAGGCAACACCAATACCTTATTGTTCATAGAGTGGTTTTGTTTGTGTGTGATGGTTTGTTTTGGTGGTTTGGGTTTTGGTTTTTGTTATTGTTGTGGGTTTTTTTTTAAGGAAGCCACTCCCCGAAGTATACCTAAGATACCCTTTTACTGATAAAAACACATGTGTCTATTTTTCTATGTGTTTGTTTTGGTTCTGTTTTTAAGATCATGAAGAACTCTGTGGCACCACTTACGGATCTTTTTGTCTAAATGGAGGGATTTGTTATATGATTCCTACTGTATCCAGTCCATTCTGCAGGTCAGTGAAACTAAAGCTTGTTTTAAGTATTGGACAGTAGCTGTCTACAGACTATTTCTCCATTTTGCTTCCTTAAGAAATTACTGTTAAAATGTTATATAAAGGAAAGTACCTATTACCTATGGCTGTTCCTCATTCAGTAATTCATGCTCAGATTACTTATCTAGCTTGCAGAGACATGACAATATGAGAAAAATAAACAGCTATACTTGGTGTATAATTGTTTGACAGGTGAAACAGTACTGTTACGTATGCATTCAGGATGATATCTATATTTAGAGCCATATTTCCTCCCCTCATTACAATACAGAAAGGAACAAAATACCCTTTGCCTCTTGGAATATAGACTGTAGGAAAGGCATTCAGAAACACAAAGTACATTTCCAGTTTTTCTTCCAGATGAATTATATTGCAAAAATTCTCATAACAAAATGGCCTGACCAGAACAAAATGAGGAGGCTGAAAATGGAATATAATCTTTTAAGGGGGAAAAAAAGAATGTAATTCAAGACTTACTATGTTCTCTGAATCTCACTGAATACTCAAAGGGAAACTTTACAATGACAGCCAAAGACCACTTGATAAAGAAACATCAAGGCAGCAAATATAGATACTTCTTACACCATTTGTTTATAGGATCATTCTTCTTTTTGACGCCCATGAAGCACAGTGAAAAAGCAGCAATTCCTATTTTTGCATGGAGATGTTTTCTGCATAAATACCGCCCTATCCTTTAATTTTCTCATTTACCAAGACATGAGAAGATGCTAAATTAAATTCTAATTCATCACAGTTCTGCATTTACTAATTCTGAGTTATTGTTCATCAAAATACATTACGGTTAATTTAAAGGGTTTACTTAACATAATAATAGGCATTCAGACACATATTACATACACTTAAGGGCATTACCTTTTTTAAATTCTGTGGCAACTTCTGCTCCCTCTTCAGTCTTGAGCTATAACTAATGATAACTGGATGAAACAGTTGAAGAAGGAAACAGTATTTTCTAAGATGCCTAATTAAACTTTATTTATTTCTTTTGTTTGGGACAGTTCAATTTAAACATTTAAACTCATCTAGTAGATGAAGAGAGTAGAGGCAATTTTGTGGTAAATGCTCACTGTAAAACATGGACAGCATATCACTGTCATTAAGCATATTGTCCAGTGTCATACAATGAATCAGATCCGTAAGTGAGGATAAAGCTCAGAAGCGCTGTATGATGATGATTTATTCTAACTGCTAAACCTTGCAAGCTTATGCAATGTAAAATGAATACTACACACACAAAAGTAAAACATGTTGAAATATGCATTTTTCTTCTAGAAGGAATCCCATATTACTGATATTAAAATACTTCAATGAAAAAAGAACGGTGAGACTAAACAGTATCAGTTACACGATTTCAAAGCACCCTCTCAACTATTGCTAGACTATGTAATGAGGAAGGTGTATTTGATGCAATAACTGTAAATATAAAGTAACAAATACTCAGAACAATTCATTCTTCAGGAGCACAAACTAGTCAGCGTAGATAATTTCCACTTTAAAAGGGCTCCAAATGAAGTAATTTGTAATTCAGGTACTAGAGGATTTTATAATCTGCTGAAGCAGAAAAGTAACATCTTAAGAGCATTTTTGTTATACGTAGGCAATCTTATTGCATTTAAATTATCAAGTATTTTTCTTCTGTATCTAGTGGTTGATTATGAAGTTATATGGTTTAAATAGCAGCATTCTATTTAAGCATGTCCTCATTCTAAGCATGTTCCTTAATCAGTCAGAGAAGGCTAATTATAGATGAGAAAGGTTTTGTTTACACACAGATATCTTAGTAATCAGCGGTGATGCGAATAGAAACAACAGAAAAAAATGCATCACTATTCAGCAGAATTCAGAAAAATATTTGGTGCTTCAAGACTGGCATCATCACCCAGTTGCGCAAAGTTTCTTTGATGCAGGTTTCTGCCAAATCCCACCTAAATCTTCCAAGTGTTCTCAAATTATCACCTCCCACCAACAGAAAAATCAGTTTTAGAATCAAAGGCTGAATGGTCACTACACAACATTGATTAAAAGGGGGAAATGGAGCAGGAACAAACTGTAAAGATACCTTAAAACACATTTGCCTTGACATGCTACTTATTTACACAAGTGTTGTGCTAAAGTGTGCAAAGTTAGTGTAGAGTACCTGATGCAACATCATTAGACGTAATTTCACAATGTAACTAGGAAAATTGCATAATTCTTTACAAATAGGTATTTTGTAGCATGGTAACAAATTAAGAGCCACTATTTACTCTTGGAATTTCAGTTATTTTTACCATTCAGAAATGGGTATATATGCAAGGTAGAGATTTAATAGAAACAAAACATTAGTTGACACTCCCTCCCTTCCCTGTGCAACATTAGCACATTTTAAATACAGCTAATGTGTGTTAAAACATGAAGTTGCTCAGCTGCCATTTTCCCTCATTCCTTTCCTAACAATGAGTTACTGTTCTCAGCAGCAAAAGGCGCACCTGTCATCATAAACAAGATGAGCTTCAAACCCAGGAATGCTCAAATGTACTAAATAAACATGCAGCAGAATGTAGAAGGATGGAAAAGCAGCTGCCTCAGGTGTATTATGAGGCTGAAAGCTGTTTGCCTCAGCACCTGAAGCACAGCTGTCCCATAATCATTAATTAACACAGTGCAGAATTAAGTGAGGATTTTGTTGTCTGAGGGGAAGCTCTGGTACTTCCATTTTGTCTTACACATGGCAGATTTCTGAGAGTCTTCTTCATGTCAGACAAAATACAGATGGTATACAACCACACAAACACAGCTCCTCTGCTTCTGAGGGCAGTGCACACAGAAATTAATAGTGAATGCTCTCCTTTTGAGGAAGGGATCATTTTCTACAGAGGGCAGTGCATTCGGGCTAAGTACTGCAAGGGACAGAGGCAGACCTTGGAAATCTCCTCCCTGAAACTCCAGTGTATGGTTAAAGGATATCTCTACTTTCCCCTTCCTTTGCTTCAACCCCTAATCCAATCTCTCCTCCACCTTTCCTATACTAATCCAGTAAATCCTGTGCAAATTCCTTCTGTCACTTTGTGTGTACCCCATCTTTGTCTGGCTCTTTATCTGAGATGGGTCTTTTCATTACCTTTTTCAAACATCCCACGAGTGAAATACTTGCTGTGCTGTAAGCCTTCAGAATATACACACTGCAAGTTACTAGTGAAGGGCTTCCCACTCATCTGGGCTTGTCTTCTTTCTCTGCCTTCAAAACTATGCTTTGGCATACTCAAGGCTGTTCTGAAAAGAAAGCAGCCAACTAGTATTTTTCAATTCTGATTTTAGCTTGAAAGGCAGGAACAAAAGTTAAAATACAAACCAAAAATATAGCCCCCAAAAATCCATTAAGATTTAATGGGACATGCAACATTATTTTATATGCTTGATAAGTATTAGTGATGAGAATTAGTGCAAGGTATGGTAAAGCTTGCCATATAAACACATAGCTAAGGGAGTTCTAGGGGAAAATAACCCATTCTTTCAACTTCTTTGCGGTAGTAGCATGAATGTTACTATGTATATGAATACAGCTCAGAGTAACAGTTTTGAAACTCCTCTGAACACAAAACTTTTTTAAAAGCTGCTTAGGGCTGCCAATTAACTTTGCCATTGCTTATTCACTTTGGCTTTAAATTCTTTTTCATACTTACTAGATGCCTTTGTGTATGGATTAGGACAATTTTTGAGAGCCTGCTAGAGACTGAAGATTATGGTGATTTTGAAGCTATCAGCCATGTTGTCTGAATTGCATTGACAAGCAGATAATTTTTCAGCTGTCTTTTTCTGCTTAGAGCTTGCTTTTTATTACATGCAAGTAATTTTTATACCAAGAAGCACCCAGGTTTTTCCTAAAGGAAGACTAAACGAAAACTGAAGTCAGGACTCTTACAGTATACTACTAAACAATGGGAGTCTGTGTACATATTTGACTCAAATCCTACTTCCATCTTTAAAGTCTGTCAGATACTTGCTTATGATGCCCACAGAGTCTGGAAGAGAAAGAAACCTTACCTAAATCAGACTTGCACTGTCTCATGAACTGCATCTGCAAACAGGACAGCAGTAATGCCTTGTGTTACTGGAGGCGTATTATGCTTATATTTTAGTTACAAATTAGATTACAAAGGATCAATATAATTGCAGACCTGCTGGTCATCTCCTGAAATCTTATCCAATGCGGTCTGTTTCCTTCTACCTTGTGTGGATGCTGATATGGGTAGGTTTGGTTAACAGCCTATGTTGGAGGATTCTGTGGATTTCTTTATTTGTATTTCTTAACATACATCATGTTAGGGTTTTGTCTCCAGTACAGCTCCTATAGTAAGTTTGTATACAACAGTTAAGGCTGGCTCATCTCATCTGACAAGAGGTGTGGGCGTGTATGCATGCTTGTGCAGGCACCTAGGAAAGCTGAAATCTGGATGCTATCTGAAAATGGGAGTTTCTAGTCTCACAGCTTTTCCTCAGACATTTGAAGGCTGTTGTCCTTTAACTCTGATTGAACTAGAAATTCTAATTTCTTAGAGAAGGAAAGACCTTTTTTGCATTTCAAAAATCAACTTTGGAATGCTACATAGTGCAACCATTTAAAGCCAACAGACGGCATATGCTGAGACAGCAGGATAATAGCATGCAGATGATGTGCAATAGCAACACCTGGCCTAATGACCACAAGACTTAGAGCAACTCCCTCTTACTATAGCCTAGAAGCAGGCTTATCTGTCTTCTGCACTCATTCAAGTGCAGAAGCACAGTTGCCTACATATTAACAACTGCAAGTGCATCATGCTTAACTTGTACTCTACTTTTAGGCATTCATTATAAACAAGATAAACTACGAGTTGCTACTAACTTTTAAGGATGTGTGTAGGACTGTGTAAGGTCTGTCTCCACAAAACTGACTACCTCTAGAGACACTATGTAGATACCAT